TTGAAGAGATATTTGCATTCCCATGTTCAGTGCAGCACTGGTCACATTAACCAAGATGTAGAAACAACCCAAGTATCTGTTGACAGATGAATGGATAAAGAAAATGTGGTATATATGTACAACTGATTATTATTTAGTCTTCAAAGAAAAAAGAAAATCCTGTAATAGGTAACAACATGGATAAGCCTGATGGACATTGTGCTAACTGAAAAGCTTGTCACAGAACAAAGACTGCATGATTCTACCTATATGAGTATACTAAAATAGTCAAATTTATTGGAACAAAAGCAGATCTGGTTGCCAGAGGCAAAAGGGAGGAGGAAATGGGGAGTTGCTAATCAAGGGCATAAAATTTCAGTAATGCAAGATGAGTAAGTTCTAGGGATCTGCTATACAACATTGTACCTATATTGTATTGTGCACTGTTAACAATATTGAATTGTATCCTGAAAAATCTGTTAAAAATATAGATCTCATGTTAAGTATTCCTATCACAATCAAATAAAAATAAATTTCAATCCTAAAAAAAACTCCCTGGAAGCCACTAAATAGATAATGAAATATTCATTAAGATGATGTATTAAAAATTTTCACTATATAAAAATAAACTTTTGGTAACTTTTGATGTAACAGCTCAATTTCCCTCAGATTTATCTCCAAACTTACTTATAAGTTTGGTCCTCACCACATGCATTCTAATTTCAGGCAAAGGAGTATCTATTGCCCATACTTCTCCATCCCTACTACATTCTTTACCTATATATTGTTACTCTATCTGTTATTGTATCTGCCTGGCTTTCTCCGAAATATTATTCTATCAACGATCCCCACTTTCTCCTGCACCTTTACCCTGGTTCATTCTCAGCATACAAACAACTCTGATATTACCCTCACTTAAAAAAAAAATCACAGTTACAATTATTTGTCTTTTTTTAACTTCCTGAAACAACAATTATTCCAGTTTTTACAACTCCCACCCATTCTTCAACCTATGACAATTTGCTATTCAACCTCACTACACTGATGACCCACATGTTGCCAAATCAAAGACTATTTTTAGTCCTCACTCTAGGAGCCTATTTTTATTCTTGACCTCCCAGCAGCACTGATGCTTCTGACTATCCTCTCTGTCTTGAAACTCTTATATGGGCTCCACATAACATTGTTTTCTCCCAATTCTCTTCTATTTTGGATCATTCCTCACTCTCCTTTCCTAGCTTCTCCTTATCTGACAACCCTTGATCTTAAGGTTTTGTTCCTTGCAGACTTTTCACTATAAATACTTACCCCAGTATCATTTACTTCTATGACATCAATCACTATTTAAATAATGATAATTCATAGTTCTCTATTTCCAACCTCAACCTTTCTCTGATGTGCAGTAGGTAAAGCTGTAAAAATTACAGTAGATATTCTACTGAAGAAGCCTGGAACGAATGCTGCCTCTGCCCCTTTCTCTGTTTCACCAAGGCTTCTTTTAGTCTCAATCATAACAGTGGTATTGGTAGCTGTTGTTTATACTTTTGAAAAGATTGTTGGGAAAGAAAAAAACAAGATTATTTTGATAGTTCTCTTTAAGTAATTTTCAAATTACTTCAACCCAAGATTAATCTCAAATAGAGTAATTTTATATGACAGCATATGAATAGGATTACAAGAATTGAAAACATAGAAATGGCGTAAGACAGAAGTGGCATTGAGTACTCAGCTAAAAAAATTGGACAAAATATACAGATTACAAAAATGCTACAATGTATATAACATGAAATTTAATTCCAGAGGATCGCACTAATACATTATTAGCTTCTACTAAATCATAGGATGTTAAGTTGGAGGTCATTGGCTATATTCACAAAGAAAGGCCATGTTGTAACGTTTAGTTATCTTCTAAAGTTGCCAATTACGAAAAATAAAAAATAAAAATACTACAATAGAATTTTTAATTAAGTAGGGAAACAAAAATTTAAAATTTTTGGCTTTCATTTAAAAAATGCTTTGGGTTTAGCTAATTCATATTATTTTCATAGCTATGCAAACTAATAAACTTTTTAAATGATAGCAGCCTTCCATCCTTTTTCTGACTACATATATAAAAGCTAGAGGTAGGCAGATGAACGTCTACTTTTTTCACAACTGTAAGTGCACCTGATCTATGGGAGGCTGGTCCTGTTTTTCAGTGTTAACATGTCATCGAAACTGGCAGAATGAACAACAAAGGAGCTGTGAGTTGAAAGAATTGCTTCTAAATATAAATAACTATCCCCCAACTTCTAGACATTTCTTTCAAATAATCACCCACACTTATATAGCATATCTGTGCAAAGTGAATAGGGAGAAGAAGGAAGACAAAAACATCAGCTCTAGTACTTAATCACCAAAAGGAGTACTCAAACCCACCCAAGATCTATTTATGGAGCACCTGTTATAATACAGAGTACTACACTTGATGCAAGAATAAAAAAGCTCCCAAATTAGGAAGAACTAGTGATGTCAAATACAGATGGCACCCTTCTAAGGGTTAAATATGTTGGGTACTTCAATTGTATTTTCCATTGTTAGCACTTACCACTATTTAGCCATCAATAACTATTTTTTTAAAAAAGGAACATACAAAAATATTTTCCCTCTCATTTTAAGTTCTACAATAATTTTATTTTAGTCTTTTGAGTTTATATTCACAGCAAAACAGATTACATAATTATCTTGTTTAACAATCTAAACTTACAGAAGTAAAACAGATAATTTATTGGCTTATAAATTCATATTTCTGTAAATGTTAATAATTTTTTATAGTTTTAAAATTCTATCAATTGTCAATGGATTAAAGAATAATGAAATATGTTCCAGATGTGAATTAACCACAGAAAATTTCAGAATAGGGTATATTCAGTTGGGAACACACATACTGTCATGCCTTGCTTAATGACAGGAATATGTTCTGAGAAATGTGCTGTTAGGCAATTTATCATTGTGTGAGCATCATAGAGTGTACTTATATAAACCTAGACAGTATAACTTACTGTACACTAAACACAGAAAAAGGTAATGCACTATGACATCACAATGGCTATGACATTACTAGCTGACAAGAAATTTTTAGCTCCATTATAATTTTATGGTATATGCAGTCTGTTAATGACTGAAATGTTGTTAGCAGGGCATGTCTGTACTTTATTAAATCTTTTATCTAAAATTCATGGTATTGAATAAGGAGAGCACAGACAACTCATAGTGATCACAGGGGCTTTCGATCTTAAGTTTATTGAAAACAAAAATCTGTCTTCCAAACTACTATTATTTTTACAATTATACAGTTATCTTAATTCTGTCTGCTATCTGGATACTATTTTATTCCATTCTCTTTTCTTCTTTTTTAGCCAGAAAGAAAGTCCTTTTTAAAAAATTACTGAATGTCTTCACTCAGAGAAGGTCTAAGGCATGAAGAGATAGAAAAGCTCTATTTAGGAGAGTTGTATTTCCTACCAGTATAAGAGGTGCTATTATCCGAAGTACTGAAAATTAAAAATTAGGACAGTTCCTAGTTCATGAATTAGGTCTTCTGCGGTATGAACTAACAAAACTAACATTCAAGTCAGATTTTTTGGTAACAGTAATATACAATATTTCATGATATATTTTAACAGAGAGAAACAATTATTTAATATACAATATTTTTCACTAGGTTTTTGGGATCACTCACTCTTAACTTTCCTCTTATCTCACTGGCTTCTCTTCCTTTTATTCATCCCTAAGTACTGATGTGCTGCGTTTAGTCCTCTTCTCTGTATACACTTACTTCCCAGGTGATTTCATTCAGTGTTATAGCTTTAAGCACTAGTAGTACACCAATGACCGCCAAATTCATATCTTTAGTCCCAACCTCTCTCCCAAGCCTTCGGCTGGTTTATCCTATTGTTCACTCTCATCCCTGCTTGGCTGTCTAAGAAAGATTTAAACATACCAGGACCAAAATCAACTCTTGGTTTGCAGACCGGCCCCCTCCAAATGACCTCTTTCCCTGTCTTCTATCTCATTTACTCAGGGCAAAAACCTAAGATAATATGCTTGCCTCCTCTCTTTCCTGCATGCCCACATTTTTACCATGGCCAAGTCTTTACGTGATCTGGTTCCTGCCTATCTCTACGTTGTCCTCTCCTCCCACTTTCTAGCTAGCTGATTTGACCCAGTCACATGGCCTTCTGGCAATTCCTTTAACATGCTGGTTGCTCCCACCTCAGAATCCTTGCACCCTTTATTCTCTCACCCTGCACTAGTCTTCTTCATAGCCTATATCATTATGTGACAATTTATTAAATATTTATTAAATTTTAATTTTTATTTGCTAATTTTGTTCACCATTGTATTCTCAACTTCTAGAAAAGTAGTTGGCACATAGTAAGCACTCAATAATACTTACTAGATGAGTGAAACTGTGAGATAGACATGCCCTAATAAAATGGTTTCATTGTACTATGTAATCCAAAAACACCTGACATACTTATATTTATTTATAAGTATTAATGTGGCCTAGATTTTTAAAAAGAAAATTTAAGTTATTCATACCTTTCTTTCACTTAAGTTAAAAATATTAATTTAAAAATATAAACAAACTAAATAGTTCAATGAAGTGCGGTATTTACTATGTTACCAAATGAAGAAAACTGACATTTAAAAAGATCAAAAACTTAAACATTAATATATATTTTTAGGACCACAACATTGAGTTCAAATTCTCTATCAACAGATACTGAATATATATGTTTTCCTTATCACTGATCTTCGATGTTGTGACAATATCTATTTGTCCTATTAACTAAATAAAATATGACAATTTTAGTTGCTTAATTAATTCATGTTTTGAAAACAAATTAGAAAGCTCATAATTCTTTTGATATAAAGTTGATGAATTGGTAGATAAGAAAATGTAAGTTAATTTATGAAAATTTTATAATGTTAACAAATTTCATATTTGACAGGATAAATTACAAAAATATACTTACTTTTTTCATCAGCTTTGTCTCTTATTGCTATGGTATCATTACTCAAAGATACAGTCTGTGCATTCAGAATATCTGTTCTCATCCCAGGAAATTTTGGAGATGAAATAAAGTGCCCTTCATACGAATATAAATAGATACTACTACCATCTACAAGAAGAAAATGTCTAAAAAATAAAGAATAGAAATAGATTCTCAAATATGGGTAGACTATATTTTCATTTTTATATTACAGAATAGTTTATCTTTGGGAAAAAAATCTAAATCTTACAATTGATATAAATGTGTAGATATATAAGGAATAAAACATTTTAAAGACTGAAAGCCAGCACTGGTTGTTTTGGTTTGTTTTCTGGGTTTTTGTTTTATGATGACGTAGGAAAAGAAAAATGAAAATGTCCATAATCACCACCCTATACACTAAAATTCTGATTTCTTTTATATTATACCCACAATTCATTCCCTTTCCTAAAGAAGATTCTATACAAAGGCAATTGAAAAATCTTTTAATTTATAATTCAGTGATTTTAATGCCAGGTGCCATTTGTTTCATGAAAGTTTTAATATGTATTTTATAACTAAAGATTATGCTAAAAATAATTAAAGATTCAATACAGGTTAAAGTCTAAAGCAGTGAAGATGACTAAAAAAATTACCATGAGGGCAAGCATTCATTAAAAATAAGGCAGTTGTGACTTTAAAATCATATGGTGACCATCAGTATGTATTCACATCTAAAAATTCCTGTATTTTTGCTGCAGGGTCAGATTCATTTGCTGTGTTGACAGCTATATTTAAGGCATAGGGCTCTGTGTAGTTAATTTTTTATTAACTCAAAACATAAATATTTTATGGCTGTTATATTTTTCCTTTGAAAATTTATGAATATTGTACAAAATAATTCAAGCAATACAGAGAAAACAAAAGACCTCTTGAGATCCTACCTCCATAGAGATAACTATGCCGAAGTATGAACTTCCATAACTTTACTAACTCACTCATTCCTGACATGCATTTGTTTCAAACTATTCACTGTTTTAAAGAATATCTATAGTGTATATACATCGCCAATGTCTTCCCTACTTATTTTCCTTAGTACAGCTTCTAGAAGTGCATTACTAGATTAAAAAGCATACATTTAAAAATTTAAAATATATATTGTTATACTGCTCTTTGAAAAGTTGTATTGATTTACACACATACTAAGGCTATATTGGTATGCCTGCTTCCTTAATGCTGAAGACATTACTTTTCAAAATCTTATGTTTAATGTTTTAATATCCTTGATTCAGAACTGGTTCTTGATTAAGGAACTGTTAATTATTCTTTTTTTGCTATGGAAACAAAAGGGAAATAAACACAAAAACCAATGAAAAATTAGTATCTAATGAATACCAATTATACATACTTCAATTAAATTAATACTTGAGGATTGGTAGGTACTTTATTTAATTGAAGGGTTTGGCCCTTACACACTGGTGTCTGGTCATGTATAATGGCTATGAAAACTATATTTGCTAAACTTGACAAAGTGACATATATTGGTATGTATTCTTCTGTCTCAATACTAAAAGCATTTTCTTTTCCAAACAAGAAACTATAGCTTTTAACCTTACTTGTGAGTAAACACCCTGTTTCAAGGGGCAAACAACTCTTAAGTGTATAAATAAGAATAATGATAGGTAGTAACTATATTTTTTGGCTATTTATGCCATTAATCTATGTTTTATTAAGAGCATATTCAATAAATACATTTATGAATAATATATAAATAAATATTTGGAATAGAGTAAAAAGCATTTCAGAAATATGGTCTTTTAGAAAGCTGACATCTTACCTTCTAAATGACAAAAATGACTGACTTAAAAATTTATGATATAACTAATTCATATATTTAAATTTCATTAAATAAATAACATAAAAGTTGATAAAATACTTTCTTGGGCCCTCAAGGTCATCAATATGGTGACCACATTTTTCAGTAACAATTTAACTGATAACTTTGATACTCATCGGAATCTGTTGGTGCTCAGAATCATTACATTACTCAGGCACTCCAATATTCCCTTGCCAGGCAGTCACTTTTCTTCCTGTCATTGTGCCAGCCTCTGACAGCCCACCAGTACCATTCTTCTTCTGGTTTTCTATTTATAAAAAGCTGTGGGCTAGAAAACCTACTAATAAACACTATTAAGAGCTGTCTACATGATGAGTAAAGGGATGAGGAATAAAGTACATGGTTTTAGTGCAAATGTTTTATGGGTAGATATTTTAGGTAATTGTCGATTATATTTTCATAATTTTTTAACAAGTTTTATTGGGTCATAGCTGTCTAAGTCCTCCTCTGATTCAGTAGAATATCACTGTATTCAAGAGACTGACGGTTTTCATGGAAAAGTGTGGGTTCTTGAGTAATAGCTATTTCTAATTTACTCAGTTAATTGCCTGGCATTTCTTAGCCCTGCATACACTGAATGTCTAAGTAGAAAAAACTAGTTTTCAAACTTCAGGTCACAGCCCAGCAGGCCCACAAAACCAGTTTCAACCAATATTTAAAACAAAGCAGAATAGAATAGAATGGAAAATAGGGAACTATGAGGTAAAAACTCTTTAATAGTTATTTGCCTGTGTTGCTTTCATTCTCTCAGGTCATTACTCTGATGTTTACTTGTAATGAGTTTATTCTCAACGTTTCAAATAAATAGCTTTAAAATTTCTGTTTTAATTTCTAATATCATAAACGTTGATATATATAATCCATATATAACCCTCAATAATTTTCTAAGAATGTTAAGAAATTCAGAGATTAACATGTTTCAGAATTACTGATTTAAAGAGCTTATTCATTCTTTTTTTCTTAAATGTATAACAGAAACAGATTAGTTCTAAATGACTAGTATACTATTCTTTAAATTAGATGTTTTTACTAAAGAGTGCTTTAGTGCTTTTTGAGATATTTTAACCCCAAATCCAATCGTTAAACATAATAAATTACCTTTCTGCCTGTAGAATTAAACTAACAGTTCCTTCTTTGAGATCAAATATAATTGGTGTATTCCAGTTCTTTGTGCTAAAAGACAAATAAAATGGATATTTATTAAACTTTAAAATAAGTAGATAGGTATTCATTTTAAATAAAGTGACTCCAGTTTCACAGCAATTATATACATACTTCTATTACAGCACTTGGTGCATTGTTCTGAAATTATTCACTTATATGTCCGTATCCCCGAATAAAAAGCAGAGACTCTGTATCCCCTAGAACTAGCACATAATAGGCATCCAATAAATGCTCACTGTAGTATTACAACATGTGAATTGAGGAATTCTAAGTATAAGTCTGAGTTCTGCCATTTGTTGGCTCTGAGTTTGGGCAAGTCATCTCATGATTCTCATTTGAAAAACAGTAGCAGCATGGCATAATGAAGAGATGATAGCTTTTTGTTAGACAGATCTGGATTAGAAATATGGTTTCACCACCTGTCAGCCACTTGATCTCAACAAGTCTAACCTGCTAAGCATTAGGTTTTTATTTGTAAAATGGGGATAATGGGCCAGGACTTACATAGTGTCTGGCAAACTACCTAATATAAAGCAGGTACCAGACAAACAGAAACTGAAATAACAGTAATATGATGAACATGATTATTTTTCCTACAGGCTTCCCAAAGTTATTGCTGGTTTGAAATAGAAAGATTTCTTTGAAGCATTCTGCAAACTCTAAAATACTATATAATTGTAAGCTATGACATGCTTATTAAATAAATGGATGAATAAATAAATCATTTTGTTTTTACAGGGTAACATGAATCAAAGATTGGGGTGGGTAAAGGGAACATTTACAAACAGGAAAACCCATCCTCAAATAATAAAAGTTGTTCCACAGTTTAAAATAAGTTTTATTACTTCTATATATTCTGAATTTCTCTCAGTAACTTTCATAAAACCAATTCTGTAAATCAGATTAAATCTCATGTTCAAATCCAGAAGATTGAGGAGAGAGGAGGAAGAATGCAGTGAATAAAAGCAAACTGGTAGGCAACTGATCTTGGCTAATGCAAAGAATCTGATAATCATTTTAGTTAGTAAATACATGCAAAATGCAAAATAACAAATAAATTACTACTAATAATTAGTGATTACTAATTACCGATTATTAATTAGTTTGGGGTTCATAGATATAAGATATGCTTTTGTATTTTAGAAAAAATATCACAGCATACTTTATTAATTAACCTTCATTCTTTGTCAAGAGAGTTGGTAAGCAGTGATTATGTATGGTTTTTTTTAATGTCCCTTCAGAAAAAAATCTGAGATTTCTGACAACTGAGATATATAAATGCCATGAAAATATAAATTCCCTAAGCTATAAATGCTGAATAGAACAAGAATATTTTCAATATAATTATCTGAAAAATCAAATGAAAATTTAATGTAGAATGCTTATATATTGTTTTCTTTTTCTGGAACTTCTTTTCATATAAATCAGTAAAGTACTTGCATGTCTGTTTTTAAAATTATATTTTTATTACTAAAAAAGAGGCAACAATTATTAAGAACTTGAATTCAAATTCCTGCTTTCCTTTAGTAACAAAGTCAATAATCTGACATAAGGCAAGTTACCTAATCATTTTTATGTCCTTTAGCTTCAGATTTCAAATAAGAATAATAGTAAACATAAAAGAGAGTAAAACAATTGCTCAATAAATGATAGTCATTATTATCTAAAATGCTAGGTTTTTAAAATTTTATGAAATATGTTTTGGTGATGATTCATTCCCACTACTACATCCTGGTATTTCATTACCACTGCTGCATCCTGGTACTAATAAATATTTTGTACCTTAATAAATGTCTTGACAATCAAAGAAGGGAGGCAAGGTTCAATCACAAAAGAAGAAAAGCAGTCTTACATTTGCCACGCATTAACTGGTAAGGAAGAAGCAGAGTGACCAAAAAAAAAAAAAAAAAAAAAAACCTAACAGCTACTAAACTTTGGGTATTTTAAAAGACAGCTTCTCTAATACATGTAACACCTAATGATACTAATCCTACAGATTTGCCGGCCGGGCACAGTGGCTCAAGCCTGTAATCCCAGTACTTTGGGAGGCCGAGGTGGGTGGATCACGAGGTCAACAGATCAAGACCATCCTGGTCAACATGGTGAAACCCCATCTCTACTAAAAATACAAAAAATTAGCTGGGCATGGTGGCGCATGCCTGTAATCCCAGCTACTCAGGAGGCTGAGGCAGGAGAATTGCCTGAACCCAGGAGGTGGAGGTTGCAGTGAGCCGAGATCGTGCCATTGTACTCCAGCCTGGGTAACAAGAGTGAAACTCCGTCTCAAAAAAAAAAAAAAAAAATCCTACAGATTCAAACATTATGTCCTTACCACTATAACTAGTAGAATAAAAGGGAAGTTACTATAGAAAAGTTAAGAGCCTGGCCTTTCTTCAAACAAACAAATAAACACTAAACTGAAGAAATTTCTGTTCTCCCCTGCCCCATGAAAATTAATTATTCAAACACCTATCTGCATTAAAGTGATTGAGTGATCTTCTCACATTCTATAATCCCTTCCCCATATCTCAACTGCTTAACTTGGTACCTTTTTTGAATTTTCCCAAATTCTTACTGTTCCTCTTTCCTGTTCATGTAAGGGAAAAAAAAACTCATATAAAATTAAGTTGCTTATTTCTTCATCCACTCACCTCTGTTTCTTCTATTTCATTACTCCAGACTTGGGTATTTGTCCCAAATTGCAGATTCTGATTAGTAGCAGGTTTACACATAGTGAGTGGCAATTTTTAAATATATAGTTGTAGCAGTTGTTAATTAAATTAAATACCTTTGTGTTGTGTACTACTAGACTTTAGGATACTACGATGACAAAGTACTTTACATATTTTAATTCATTTATTCATTCAAAAGTATTCATTAAGTACCCACAACATGGGCACTGTGCTAGGTGCTGGGCATACAGTGGTGAATGAGACACGTATAGTCTCCATCCTCAATTTTATATTCAATGACTAAACTATAACGACATAATGTTATAAAAACAAGGAAAAAATTTTTAAAAATCCTTAACTATGTATAACTCTTGAAAGTATCATAATGGTTACTTGAGTTTTCTGGATAGTTGAAGAATCAACTGGTAGTATGCTAGAGCCAGCTTGTACTAGTTATTAAATTTTCAGGAATTTTGTAAGACAACTGTTAAATAAAGCCATTATTTATTATTTGAGACAGGGTCTCCAGCCTGGAGTGTAGTGGTAGGATCACAGCTCACTACACCCTCTGCCTCCTGGGCTCAAGCAATTCTCCAATCCCAGCATTCTGAGAAGCTAGGATCACAGGTGTGCACCACCATGCCCTGGTAATTTTTAAAAAGTTTTGTATAGATGGGGTCTCACTATGTTACTTATGCTGGTCTCAAGCTCCTGGCCTCAAACAGTCCTCCTGCTTTGGGCTTCCAAAGTGCTGGGATTACGAGCATGAGCCATTACACCTCACCTGACTATCAGCTGTTGATGTACAAACCTTGTTAGATCTATTTTTGCTGCTCTAAGTTCACTTTCTCTCACTTCCTGGTTTGAGGTAGTTCAGGATAGCTGAGGTTTTGAGAAAGTTAACTTTAAACCAAACCATGCTGATGTGAAATTCTGAAAATAAACCCCTCAGCACAGACAAAACTCCGAATTTTTAAGAAATACAAGATGCTTACGAGAACACATAACATTGAAGAGACGTTGAAACCACTAAATGTGCATAGTTCAAAGATGCTTTAATGACTCTATCACGGAATTCCAGTAAATCCACTGCATCATTAAGAACGTTACGAACCTAAACAAGGAAAAATAAAATACCAGCAAACATCATTAAAACACAACCCTATTTTATTTAGATAAGTTAGCAAGATTTTGAAACACAAAAAAATTCAATGCACTATTGATTACCTAATCATATAAAAAAAGAATTTAATAGAAACTAGGCATAAGATAGTATACCTAATTTTAAAAAACCAACCAACAAAGTATAGATACAGAAAATCTCTCAGAAATAAGTAGAAAAAAACCTACAGAGATTTCTAACTTGCAAACCAAAATAAATGATGTAGCAATGAATTGATATGAAAAATACCCCAACACTGAGATGTAGTCAAAGGAGGGTGGCATATTGAAGTTGGAAAGAATCTATGTGATTTCTGCCCAAACGGTAAGAATATCTCTTTTTGGGGTTAGATTTTACTTTAAAATATACATTCTAAAAGAAGAGACATAATTGCTTTAAAAATCAAAAGTGGGGTAGGAGGTATTGGTAAACAAACCAATTACATAGTGAAGAAGCCAAGCTGCATGGAGTGGGGAAAGGTATTTCCATATGCAAAAACCTGGAGATCGTGTATAAAAAAGTCAAGCAGCAATGAACAAAGAGAGATTTGCTTATGATAGTCAGATTTATCATAAAAGTTTGTAACAGACTGTTTTGCAAGGATTTTTAAATTTCGCAGTATTGGCCAAAAATCTTGAAGTTGATGAACAAAGTGCAAGAACTTAAGAAAAATGTTGAGCAAGTTAAATTTACCTAATCTCTGGTCTAAACCAGAATAGGTATTATGGGAGTATAGTAAGAGGTGAAAAATAGAGGAAAAAATGTAATTATACCTACAGATTAAAACTCCTTTAAGTTCTCCTCAAAGTGTTACCATATTTCTAAATAAAATGTGACAATATTAAAGAGCAATGAAAGAGTATAAAAAGAAAAATAGGAAGGTAAATCAAACGTCTTATAAGTACTTCAAAGAAGTACTTATGCCTACCAGGCACTGCCATGATCTAAATGTTTGTGTCTTCAAAATTCAAATCTAATCACCAATATGACAGTATTAGCAGGTGGAGCCTTTGGAAGGTTGTGGGTGCTTATGAATGGGATTAGTGTTCTTTTAAAAGAGGTCCCAGAGGGCTGCTTTGCCCATTCCGCCAAGCGTGGACATAGCAAGAAGGCACCATATGAATTAGAAAGTGGGCCCTCACCAGACACTAAATCTGCTGGCACCTTGATCTTGGACTCCCAGCTTCCAAAATTATGAGAAATAAATTTCTGTTGTTTACAAGCTACCCAGATTATGGTATTTTGTTATAGCAGCCCAAACAGAATAAACAAGTATGTTACTTTTTTTACTATCTGCTCCCCAACTCCCACCTCCACCAAAATATTGACCCAGCAATCTCATTTCTAGAGTTCCATCCCAAAGATAAACAAGCAAAACTATAAAATAACATATGCACAGACTATCACTATAGCACTATTACTAATACCAAAAAACTGGAAATAGCCCAAATGTCTATTGATAAGAGACAGGTTGTATAAACTATGATATAGTCAAACAGGGGAATATTATACAGCTATAAAAAGAAATAAGGAAGATCTATAGACATCCATGGGATACAGTAAAGTAAAAAAATGCAAGATGCAGAACAGTGTGTATAGTATGATACGTTTTATCTTAAAAAGGAAAAAATATAAAAATATATGGATTTGCTAACTTTTTAAATAAGAAATCTTAAACAGTATTCACTAACATATTATTAGAATAATAATATTGTTATTTTAAAACTATATTTTGGGATATAATGTTTTTAGGAACCAAATTTTTCTGGTCACAAGAGTTGCTCTTAAAAAACCAAGAAGTAAAACTCTATAATCTTAAAGTTAAATTAAAAATCTCAGTATAAACTTGTGATGCATTTTTATCTGCCAAAAACAAAAACATTTCTTCCCAGTATAGACTCTAGTAAAAAGAAAAAAGAAAAAAAATTTTGTCTAGAAGTAATGATCAAATCAATAGTAATGAACACATGTTATTAGAGATCTGATTATGTCTGTAAATAACATTTCCCTCCAAAAGGAACGAGGCCTTCATGGAAAAATAGTTGGTTTTAGTCTAGATGGGAAATGTACAAAAGGAGCCTGAAACATCTTGTCACACCAGAAAGCAAGGACGCTACTGAAATCAGTCAAAAGAATATAGGAGCCAACTGGCCAAAGATGGGACAATCTGAGTATTAAAGTGAGAATAACCACGATGGGTAGAAACACATTAAAAAAGTTAAAATCGGCAGGGTGTGGTGGCGCACGCCTGTAATCCCAGCACTTTGGGAAGCTGAGGCAGGTGGATCATGAGGTCAGGAGATCAAGACCAGCCTGGTCAACATGGTGAAACCCTGTCTCTACTAAAAATACAAAAAATTTACCCAGGCATGGTGGCGCATGACTGTAGTCCCAGCTACTCGGGAGGCTGAGGCAGGAGAATCACTTGAACCTGGGAAGCGGAGGTTGCAGTGAGCAGAGATAGTGCAACTGCACTCCAGCCTGGGCAACAGAGCGAGACTCCATCTCAAAAAAAAACATTAAAATCTACAAGTTTATAATGATAACATCAATGATAACAAAAAGGAAACTTATTGGACTTGCTAGGAAACCAGATTATTACTTGAAAACTGGCAAAAATAGAAAAATAATTCAGCATTTGATACCATTCTCCAAAGGGTAACCCAGTGGTGGAGGAGGCAAACAAAGTCTTTTACAGAAGAATTCTAGCTAATAAATGTGGAAGGAATGATAGAATTACAATGTTACCATTTCACAATTCCCCAATGAAAAATACATCTAGATGACTATTATCAATGGCAGCTAAAAACATTAAGGTGAAAAGCCCAGTGGGGAAATACATGATAGATGAATCAGGTTTATAATATCTGATCAAATGTTAACATCAGTAAAAGAGAGACAAGCAGACATATGCACCTCCTGATGCAATGCAACAGGAAGCACACAGCATCACTTAAGGCTTTAAACCTAATAACCAGTCTACAGGAAACACAAGATAAATGAACATATTAACTGTAATCAAGGCCAAGAGTGGTGGTTTATGCCTTTATTCCCAGCACTTTGGGTGGCTGAGGTGGGCAGAGTTCAAAACCAGCCTAGGCAAAAAGGTGAAACCCTGTCTTTACAAAAAACAAAAACAAAATAGCTAGGTGAGGTGGCAGATGCCTGTGGTCCTAGCTACTAGGGAGGCTGAAATGGGAGGATTGCTTGTGCTTGGGAAGTCAAGGCTGCCATGAGCCGTGATTATGCCACTCACTCCAGCCTGGGTGATAGAGTGAGACCATGTCTTGAAAAAATAAATACATAAATAAGTAAATAAAAATAAATAAATAAATAAATGTAATCACATCACAAAGATGGAATCAGTTAAATATAGAATGTGGGAAATTCAACAGAATAACCTGGTTTCTTTAACAAATAAATCATAAGTTGATAAGTTGTTTCAGATTTCAAAAGACTTAAGAGACAAATTAAGTGCAATGTGGGACTTTATTTCCTGATACAAACAAACCAACTGTAAAAATATACTTAGAAAATAATTGAAGAAATGTGATCTGTTACTGTAGAAAGATGTTAGAAAAAGACTGGGGAAATGTGAATGTTACTATGGTAATGTTAAAATGAAAATAGTTCTTATCTTTCAGACTGTTTAAAACAACTTAAAAAACAATTCCAGAACTAGTAGTGAAGAGATATCATCTCACGCCAGTTAGAATGGCGATCATTAAAAAATCTGGAGACAACAGATGCTGGAGAGGATGTGGAAAAATAGGAACACTTTTACACTGTTGGTGGGAGTGTAAATTAGTTCAACCATTGTGGAAGACAGTGTGGTGATTCCTCAAGGACCTAGAAATAGAAATTCCATTTGACCCAGCAATCCCATTACTGGATATATATGAAAAGGATTATAAATCGATATATTATAAGGACATATGCACACGAATGTTCACTGCAACACTGTTTACAATAGCAAAGACCTGGAACCAACCCAAATGCCCATCAATGGTAGACTGGACAAGGAAAATGTGGTACATATATACCATGGAATACTATGCAGCCATAAAAAACGATGAGTTTGTGTCCTTTGTAGGGACATGGATGAACCTGGAAAATATCATTCTCAGCAAACTGACACAAGAACAGAAAATCAAACACCACATGTTCTTACTCATAGGCAGGTGACACATGGGCACAGGGAGGGGAGCATCACACACTGAGGTCTGTTGGGGGGAACTAGGGGAGGGACAGCGGGGGTGAGGAGTCAGGAAGGGATAACATGGAGAGAAATGCCAGATATAGGTGATGGGGAGGAAGGCAGCAAACCACATTGCCATGTATGTACCTATGCAAAAATCTTGCATGTTCTTCACATGTACCCCAAAACCTAAAACACAATAAAATACATATTTTAAAAAAAGAAAGAAAGAAAAAAGACATGAATATTTTTGCTCACCTCTTCAATGAGTAAGAGTAACGACTGCAAAGAGGGGAGTAGTCTGATGACAAAAGTTTCAAAGGAGCTAGAGTTTTTTAAGGAACCTCAGAGGTTATAGTGATCTAGAATCAGCAAGGAGGAGTAAGGAAGACATCAACCCAGATCCAGTGATAGGTGGCACATCAAAGAAAAACGCTTCTACTTGAGAAGGCTGGAGGAAAAACACTGCTCTCAGTATTCAGCTGCTGTTAATTAGAACAAGAATGCTTTCAGTGAAAGGGCTGAGCTTTGTAAGGCCACAGCTATATGACTGCAGGTTGTGTACTGCACAATTCTGGGTCTATGTGAAAGGTGCCCTCTGGAATCGAGCGGGCGCTCACTGCAGTTGGTGTCATGTGAGCCTCTCTTCAAATTTCCTAGGACTACAACTCCACATATGAAGCCCATATAGCAGTTGGCTATAGATTTTTTAGGTCACCTTTTTAGGATGAAGAGAAGGAAGCTACCTCATAGA